GTTAGGGCATCATATTGTCAACTAGAGGCTCACATAATTCAATTTTAACCAAAATCGTTTTTTAACAAGTCCATTTTGATTCTTGGATATTAGCTTTCTGTTTAAACCTAACATGTTTTGATAAGATTTTTCATATGTTTTGGATAATCGGTACAACTAGTTTTTAATTCAATTAATCGTTAATTAAAAAAAATGTGTTTGGATAAACCTATAAAAAACTGTTTGTTTTTTTTTAATTCAAAGCAACTCCAATTAAAAAGATTCTTTCTTATATTTGGATTTAAAATAGTAATATAATCAGATAAATATATGTTTTTAATCGGATAAAATTTTATTTTTTCCTAACCGGTTAAAAATCCGGTGAAAAACATTTGGTGACCTAATTTTATAAACTAATTATATAAAAAATTGGTTCATAGTTTAAAAAACCGGTCTACTTTGTTAAGATTTATTGTCAAAACTTGATACCGTTGTCTGTTGGACTATAAATTCTTAGATAATCAAATAGTAATTAGTTATAAAAGGACTCCAAAATGCTCTGATAGAATGTTGGGATCTTATGTTTTATGGCTAAACTTAGTATTACGAGTTTATGTAACAATAACCAACTAGTTTAGCTTATGATGCATGGATAAGGTATCTTGATTTTGATTATATGATTAGTTCAAAGTTAAATAAATAGTTCTACATAGTCAGTACAATCATTAATCATTAACATATGTACATAATATTCTTACTTTGTATGGTACAAATGTTAAATGAACACGCTATTGTAGTTATCAGTGATTCAGTTACACTTTTGATGGTGTGATTTTATATTTTTAATATCATTCACAAATATACAACAATCTGTATATTCAGAAGAAAAAAAGCTAAAAGCAAAGACCATAAAGGTTAATAATAATAATAATAATAATAATAGTAATGATAATCATAATCATAATCATACATAATAATGATAATGATAATCATAATGATACATATCACTATATCAGGCTCAGCCCTGAAGGAGTGCGGGGTGCGCTGCATATTATTCACAAAAATAAAAATAAAAATAATAAGACCTGAATTTTAGCCAATTTATCTATTTAATAATAAATATATATAATATTATACAAGAAAAATTACAAATATGTCTGGTTCACTTGGTCTACGCTGGTTCTTACTTTGCAAACCCACCGGTTCGATCTCCGTATACAGCAGTTTACCTTTATGTTTGCTATAATTTTTTTTGTCGCAAGAATATTTGATCACATTTTCCTAAGTTACATTTTGAGTCCCTAATTTATATTCCACGCTTCAAATTTTATCCTTCCTCTCAAGTGTTTTTACAATTCAGTTTCTAAAAATTATATATTCGCCCTTAACTTTATGAATTGGCATTTTTTTCCTTTCTAATAAATTTAATTTATTTTTTTTAGTTTTCCCACAAGACTATTCACCCTTTTAAATTTATTTTTCTTATATATATAAAAATTATATGAGTGTCCATTTTTATTTTTCGTACAGATCCTCCAAAATCAACGGACCGACCCTGATTAGATTACAAAACAATACATACAAATTTATTCTTGTTTATAAATAAACCAATTTAATATATATTTTCATGAGTTAACTCGGTAGATCAGATGAGTTAGAATACCGAGTTTACAACCCACTCAGCTGTCAGCAAGTAAAATGAATTGTGATTTTCACTAGCGTGAAGAGTGAAGAGGTAAAGATTCTGTGTCTGCACCCACAAAAGCTTACGACGAGCACATGGGTATACTATGGGAGTACTTACAAGTTACCACACTCCTAGTAAGCGAATAATAGTACTTTACCCTATAGTGTATATTCATACTCCTATTTTTTTATTATTATTATTTTTTTAATTTTACTCACATAAACCATTTGCACGAATAATATTTTGTTTGTTATACCAGCTAGACTAGCTGAAAAGTTTAATTTTAGTTAAAAAAAAAAAAACAGTTTTTGTCTGATAAAACAATAGTGTTTAATAACTGATAAGTTAAATGAAAAATATAATATAAAATATTTAAAAAACTTGGTGATAGATAAGAATACATAAAATATATTTAGAAAGACTCGTTAACTATCAATAAACTATCTAAAATACCTTTTTAAAAACCTAGGTTATAAAATATCTTTAGTGGTCTCACCACTCCAAAAATAAACTAGTTTATATGTGTCAGGCACAATCTAAATAAAAATCACATTGTTCACGTTGTATGATGTCAAAATATTCGATCAAAAATGAAAATGAGAGCATTAAAAATACAATCCATAAATTACAAGAATACTACAAATCTTCAGTTGGTTCGTCCTCTTCTTTACTTGAATTACTCGAATCAGCAAGAGGCCTCTTGATTGCTGAAAATGAAAACATCCACCACTCGTTAAAAACTAATAAATTTGATGTTGTTACAATTTTATTTTATAATGTTTTTTCCTAATTAAACAATCAGTTGCTACTAAGTATGTGACATACCTATACTAAAAAGATATAATTCTAGATTCAACACGCCTAAATTTTTTGATGAAATATACTGAGATTCCAACATTCATCCAATAAAATTTGCAACATGTTTAAAAAGTCTCGAGAACGTTTTGGTTTTCACATTTAAGTAGTTTAAATGTTCTTTTTATAATACATATAAGACATAATTTTACACTTTTACATAGATAAATTATTCTTATGATGCATCTTAAATAAAACAATCTTTCTTTCTCAAAATCACATATAAAACATTAAATTTTTTAACACCACTTCTAATTAGGGGGTAAAACAGTAATTTATTCTCATTAAGACAAACTGTTCAAAAGCGAGAACAACCTTTATGTAGAAACTATAGACATCATTATCCATTCAGCTACTTTATCCATACAGTACTTGAAAGGAAAAAAGAAAAAGCAAAAGCCCTTACTGAGTATGTGTTGTATAGACAAAAAATATGTTTCTCTTTTGGACCGAATAAACAATCTATATGTGAGTGAATGACCATTTTACCACTCTGGTTATAAGTGATGCCGAGTAAGGGGATGTTTTTGTTTGACTTAATAAGCTCAGTGTAAGCACTTAATCCTGGCAACTATACAAGGTTGATGGTTGTTTCTTTTTCACTTAATCTAGACAAAATGACTTAACAAGTTAAGCCAAAAAGACATGGCTTAATGGGTTAAGACACCAACCCTTTACCATTTGCCCTTTTTTTCCTCCCAACTCGTCACATGTTAAAATTGATACCATTATATCAAAAAGAAACAACTCCTTAGTACATGATATGATAGGCATATAGGAAAAACTGAAAGAGGGTAATAGTGTAAAAACTCACATTTAACAGATGATCCAGCAAGACAAGTGAGCCTAGACTTGGTATTAACTTCAGCTAATGGAATTGACTTATTCTTATTAGCCATACGAACATCCCAAACACGAATAATTCCATCTGAAGATGCAGATGCCACCAAAAACAGTTCATCATCAGATGCTCCATCAATCTTTGAAAGCACTACAATTCCTTTTAAACGAGATGAATGTGCATCCTCAATGCAATATGCAACCTTCCCACTAACTGTATCCCATGCTGTAAGATTCCTGTCCTCTCCACCACCATATACAAGTCCATTCTGTCACAATTTCATACTTATTTCAGATTATAAAGCAAACTCTATACTGTATATCAGAACAGATTATAGTATACAGTATACAACTATACATAAGTAAAGAATAAACAGCAAACTAACCATGCCAGGTGCGATGCAAAGAACTTTTTTCTTGGATTCCAATTCAAGAATCAGTTTTGCATCCTCTGCTTCGTGCACAGAGATTTTCTCATCCATTACCATGAAGAACTTATCACCACTACAATCAAATTTCACCATGGAAGCTTCTTTCCCCAAGCTACAACAGAAACTCCTCCTTCCTCTAACCAAATTCACCATAGCTAAACACGAATCTCTCCCCACTGTCAACGCCAACTTCCCCGACGGATGAACAGACAAATCGTTAACACCCTTTTTATGTATCTTCATCGTCTTTAGGTGAACGAAGGGGTCGGCGTCGTAGAACGAGATGTTACCGTCGTCATACGCGGAGAACAGGTTACGAGGAAAAGAGGACAGGGACGGAGGGGTATAGAGGGCGAGCGATGTGACGGTGGCGGTTGGATCGTTAAGTGAACCAACCTCCGATGAAGTTGATAGGTCGTATATTTTGATGGTGTCATCGGAGCCACCTGATACAGCGACGGAGCCGGCGACGGCGACGGACTTAATTGGTGAAAGATGTGATGGAAAAGAGAAAATTGGGGACAAGGTTAGGGTTTCGGTGGAGTGTTTTAGGGTTTTGAGCTTGAAACCCCAGATGAATCGCTCGTATGATCCTGCTACCAGACTCATATCTGCAGATTTTGATCGTCTCTTTCAAATCTCCACAGAGCGACGAACCTCTTAGAGACCTAAAACCCTTTGAGAAGAAAACGTCTGTATCTTTTAGGGTTTTAGGACGAGCCCTATTTTCACAATATTTATTAAGGGGGTGTTTGGGATATCTTTTTACCTTCAAAAATCATTTTTGTAAAATGACTTTTTTACGAAAGATGTTTTTAAAAATGTGTTTGGATTAGCTTTTGAGAAGCAAAAGTCAAAAGTTGTTTTTAAAAGGTGTTTGGTTTAACTTTTACATGTAAAATGACTAAAAATGACATGCTTATATATTTATAATTATTTACTAATTTATCTATACTATTTTCTACTTAACAATTTTTTTTAAACACATATTATAATTTTGTAAACATTTTATTAGAAAATATAAAATATAGATTTCTTTTAAATATTCCTAATTTTTTTTATTATACCATTAAAAAATGTTCATACAAATTATAAATAATTCATAAAAAATATCATAGATAATATTACATTCGTCTTCGCAATGTGTTTATATCTTGTGCAATAATATCTCGTATCGCTATCATATATAAATCATCATCACTCGTGCGATGTGTACTTGGACCTTCTTCGTAAACTTCACTACTAGTATCACCTCGTATGGGATTGTAGGATTCTTGTTGTGCTCTATTAAACGCTTCTTTGCTAATGAAAATCGAAAATCAAGACAAACAAAACCAAAATCGGAGTTTGCACTTACCTGGTCGGAGAGGGAGAAAGGAGACGCCGGCAGAGAAGATCGTCGGCTTGGAGGAGGATTGTCGACGGCTTTGGAGGATGAGCGGACAAGAACGAGAAGAAAAGAAAAGAACGAGAAGAGAAGAACGTATTGATTAGGGTAGTGGTAGTTGGGGGTATATGAGTAATTTAAGTGTCAAGGCCTTCAAAAGTTCCAAAAAGTCACAGATACGTGACTTTTCCAAATGCTCCTTTTCCTTCTTTGTGAAAAGTTGGTTTTAAAAGATCTTTTACCTTTGCGAAACATCTTTTACCTCATTTTTAACTTTTTGGAAAAGATAATGGCTAAAAGATGGTTCAAAAGATAAAACAAACACCCCCTAAATCTATAGTTAATTCCTTTTGGGTTAATGTTAGACAAAACCTCTGCTTTGTTGCCTCAATTTCACTATTATGTTTCAAAAATGAGAAATTTTTGAAAAAGTTTCAAAGTTTTGGACCAGTTTATGGTTTAGTCCCAAATTAATTTTGTTAACAAAAATGTACAGAATACCGGCTAACATAATCAATTTGACCCTTTTTTACCTACTCAACAAGTAAATACTAACATGGCTAACATAATCAATTTGACCCTTTTTTACCTACTCAACAAGTAAATACTAACATGGCGAAAAATGCTGACATGGCAGGAGACAATGCATGTCATGTCAGCTTCTTATGTTTTATTGAAAAACAAATGCGGATTAAAAAGTAACAAGGATTGAACTTGTGACTTCAAATACAAACAGTCATGCCTTTAACCATCAAGCTAGATATTACTTCATGCAAAAACTAAACACATGGATTTAACCACCACGCTACAACCAGTCTTGTCATTCTATTTCTGATTTCTTTTATATATAGTAAAAAACTGATGAAATTCATTTACATTATTATTATTATTATATTATTATTATTAAAAACGCAAAAAAGAAATTCTTTTTTAAATTCGTTTTTATCAATATTATTAAATAAATGTGTATATAAATACATTTTAAATACTTATTTATACGTATAATACATATTTATACATAAGAAACATATTTAAAATTTTATTTTTACATATAAAAACATATTTATGTATTCAAAAAAACGTATTTAAAATCATATTTTTTAAAATATATTTTTACAACGTATTTAAAATTGTATTTTTATTAAAATGTATTTTTACAATGTATTCAAATACGTATTTATATTTATTTTCGTTTAAAAATAATAATAAAAATAAAAATAAATAATTTTTATACAAATAATAATAATAATAATAATAATAATAATGTTCAAAAACTAATAGATTATATAGCTAGAAGCACATTTTGGTAGAGTGCGTACCAGAGTTCGAGTCCATTTGCTCTTTCTTTTTAATGTTTTTAAGGTTAATGTTTATGGATTATAGAAATTTGTTCAGCAACTAAAGCATCAAAAGCCTTCTTGCTTATGTGTAGGAGGTTGAGGGTTTGAAACCGTAAATTGGGTTAAAATTTTGTTCTTTTTTGTTAACAAAAATTAATTTTGGACTAAACCGTAAATTAGGTTAAAATTTTGGGACTTTTACATTAGTCGGTATTGTGTTCCTTTTTATTAACAAAAATTAATTTGGGACTAAACCGTAAATTGAGATAAAATTTTGGGACTTTTTCGGAGATTTCTCTTAAAAAACCTAATAGAAAACCGAACTATCGAAAATATTTAAAAAAAATTATTAAACTAAAAAAATATCTTCAAAAATAACAAACTTTAATTTGTTTTTAAAATACCATAACTCTTTTTCATTATCTCTTTTAGTTCAATGGTATTTTTAGAATATTTTATATAATTCATATCTTCTTATAACTTTTTAGTTCACAATTTGATAATCATATTTTTTTTATTAATTTTTAATTTTTTTGTTTATTATCTAAAAACACATGGAATTTATTAATTTTGTAATTTTAATAATTACACATCTAGATCAATTTATTTTTCATACAAATATTATGTTACAACAGTAACAATTTAACAAAAACTATAATTATCAAACTATAAATGTTCAAATATTTTTGTTTTGCATGAAAAAATATATCGATATAATATCTAATTATAGAGTACAAAGATTATTAATTTTTATATGTTTGGTTATTTTTAAAAACAATAAAAGTGTGTACAAAAAAAATTAGTTATCCCATGTCGTTTGATCTAGTTGTATCTTAGATTTGTTTAGATATTTTCTTTTGACCTAACAAGTTAAAACGTAGATGGATTCTCATAGAATTTCATGAAAATAAGTAACATTATTATTGGATCCGATGTCAGATAGAGTCAAGTGAAACGATATTGAAGTCACCTTAGTTATTTGAATGTTTATTTATTTAGCATATTGTACTTAAGGGAATATCATCAACATCCTTAATCATGGTACATATAGTCAATAAACAATATATATATATATATATAATTTTTTTTTTTGATGCGACATCGATCTCCGGCGAGTCTCCTGGTCTTCTGCTGCGGCGGAGATCTGACATCACAGTGCAAAGTTGTTAGAGCCGTCCCAGGGACTGTGCCCCGGGAGCGGACTCCGACGGTCAAGTTAGATCAGCTGAAAGATCTGAGATGGTTCTCCATAGCTGGAGGGAACCATCTTGGTGCTAGTGGTGGTGTATGGTGGCTGACGGCGGCAGGTGGCGGTTGAGCCACCCGGCCGGAGTATAGGGCGGCTGAGCCCAGGGGAAGGATCTCGGGAAAGAGTCCCTCTCCATGGAGGAGGTACTGTTCATTATATAGGGGACAATTAGGTCAAGCCTTGGGCCAGCCCAATTCAGGCCCAGCTAGCAAGGAGCTGGGCGAGCCCCGCCCGGAGGCGTCGGGCGAGGCTGGCGGGCACGCACCAGGTAAGGCTGGCCGGGCCGGCAGGAGAGTCCCCAGCAGGGCTGACAAGGGAGTCCCCAGCATGGCTGGCAAGGGAGTCCCCAGCAAGGCTAGCAAGGGAGTCCCCAGCAAGGCTAGCAAGGGAATGCTAGGCAGGGCTGGTAGGAGCGCGCCAGGCCAGGCTGGCGCGCTAGAGCAGTCTAGGCCATGCCAATGGACCATATATCATCAAGTCCCCCGAGTCTGGTGTTATTGGTACGCGGCAAATGACATCGGAATGGACTAAGTCATATAAACTGTGTGTCATCAAGTCCCCCTAGTCTGATGCGATTGGGTTGCTGACAATCGGATCGGACTAGATAAAGCACCAAAGCATTAAATAATAAAGAGAAATGACCGAACCTCGCCCACGAGAGCCGTGGGGTTATGCGATGAGCCAAGTACTGCTTGAGCTGACTTGATACTCCTTCATTGAGAGGAGTGCGAGCCGGTCGGTGAGATGCAACGTAACTGTTGCTGCGATCATGCGGACCGAGGTTGCTAAAGAGTGTTACGCGACACTGATGTCGGTGGAATGTCGGACCGGGGTAGCTAAGAAGCGTAAGCTTGCCATTCAGTCCCTGAGACTATTATCCGACGTGATTGTTGTGGTAGCCATGCGAGATGGGATGTCACCAGTAACCATCTACATAGTCTGCATTAATAACCATCTTGAGGATCTTTCTTGCTCGGGCTACACCTAGCTGGATTGCGGCGTACCAACCCTACTCCCCCCCTTTCTTAGAGGAGGCGAGGAATAGATTCCGAGAGCTGGACGACTAGGTTGCTAGCGAGGGTCACGCAGTGAGACTATTGCCGATAGCCAGACAATAGAATTGTTGAGGGATAGGCAGTGAGGCTATAGGTTGGGGTTGCATAGCAAGACCGTTCCCGAGAGCCAGGAAACAGAGGTGTTGTGGGGTACGCGGTGAGGCTACAGGTAAGGTTGTGCAGCGAGACCATTCCCAAGAGCCAGGAAACAGAGATGTTGTGGGGTACGCGGCTAGGCTACAGGTCGGGTTACGCAGCAAGACCGTTTCCGAGAGCCAGGAAACAGAGATGCTGTGGGGTACGCGGTTAGGCTACAGGTCGGGTTACGCAGCAAGACCGTTTCCGAGAGCCAGGAAACAGAGATGCTGTGGGGTTGTAGGTAGCAGGGCCGCTGTCGGGATGACTTTCTTGCTGGAGAGTATCCTCACTATAGCATGGTGTAATGTAGATAACACTTCATCGATCGTCCGAGCACAAGAGAACCATGATGACTGTGAGAGAGGAAGCACCAAGATCATGGTGTGGAATAAGCTTGTGATGCGCGACTTATGGTGCACGACTTATGTTGCGCGACTTAGGAGAGTAGCTTGGGCTTAGCAGCCAATGATCATGGAGATGTTACGCGGGAGAGCAACACGCGTAATGTATTGGGCTTGGCTGCCAGCGATCGTAGGTAAATCACGCGGAAGAGCGTCGCGTGGAATGGTCGGAGCAAGTTGCTGTAATGGAGTCGGGCTGAGAAGCCAGGCGGCTCGAGGCGAGGGTACTGAACCTCGCATGCGGAGCGTGCCGCTACAATGGAGTCGGGCTGAGAAGCCAGGCGACTCGAGGCGAGGGTACTGAACCTCGCATGCGGAGCTTGCCGCTATAATGGAGTCGGGCTGAGAAGCCAGGCGACTTGAGGCGAAGGTACTGAACCTCGCATGCGGAGCGTGCCGCTATAATGGAGTCGGGCTGAGAAGCCAGGCGACTCGAGGCGAGGGTACTGAACGTCGCATGCGGAGCTTGCCGCTATAATGGAGTCGGGCTGAGAAGCCAGGCGACTCGAGGCGAGGGTACTGAACCTCGCATGCGGAGCGTGCCGCTATAATGGAGTCGGGCTGAGAAGCCAGGCGACTCGAGGCGAGGGTACTGAACCTCGCATGCGGAGCTTGCCGCTATAATGGAGTCGGGCTGAGAAGCCAGGCGACTCGAGGCGAGGGTACTGAACCTCGCATGCGGAGCGTGCCGCTATAATGAAGTCGGGCTGAGAAGCCAGGCGACTCGAGGCGAGGGTACTGAACCTCGCATGCGGAGCTTGCCGCTATAATGGAGTCGGGCTGAGAAGCCAGGCGACTCGAGGCGAGGGTATTGAACCTCGCATGCGGAGCTTGGCGCTCTACAATTTATGTGTCTAGCCCGTGTGACAAGTCTGGGTTAAAGCGGAATGGTACCTGATGCTTTGTTGCATCGCTAGTCG